CAGGAGAGTACATTTAAAGGGCTTGCATGGTCTTAGAATGTATGCAAACCCACCCATTCTGGGAATCATCACCAGAGCAGTAGCTAGAAGGGCACGAGTCACATATGGGAAGTGGATGAAGTGACTGGAAGTGGGGCAAGTACCAGCCAAGGGTTTAGAAGCTAGGCAGCAGCACTGCCCCCTCTCTGAACCCTCCCCAACACAGAGTGCCATAAAGTGATGAATTGGGTTGCCTTGCCATGGTAAATACCTAAGGCTCCACCCCTTACAACCTAACTGGTGTGCTAAGACAGGTAGTCAAAGCAGCTCTACCTAATACACAGAAGCAAACACAGGGAGGCTGCCAAGTTGGGGAGACAAAGAAATATGGCCCAGCCCTGGGTGGTGTGGCTCAGTGGATTGAGTGCCGGCCTGTGAACCAAAAGGTTGCCATTTTGATTCCCAGTCCGGGCACATGCCTGAGTTGCAGGCTGGGTCCCCAGTTGGGGGCATGAGAGAGGCAACTGATCGATCTATCTCTCACATATCATACATTGATGTTTCTCTCTGTCTTTCTCCCTCTCTCGAAAAATAAATAAAATCTAAAAAAAAATATGGCCCAGATGAAAGAATGGAACAAAACCCCAGAAAAAGAACTAAGCAAAAACAGAGATAGGCAACTTATCAGATGTAGAGTTCAAAACACTGGTGAGAAGGATGCTCAGAGAAGTCATTGAGTATGGTGAAAACATAAAAAAAAAAAATGAAGGCTACACTAAGTGAAATAAAGAAAAATTCATGGGGAACCAACAGTGAAGGGATGAAAGCCAGGATTCAAATCAACAATTTGGAACATAAGGAAAAAGTAAACATTCAACCCGAATAGAATGAAGAAACAAGAATTAGAAAAAAATGAGAGTATAAGACTTTGGGACATCTCCAGAAGTGCCAATATCTGAATCATATGGATGCCAGAAGGGGAAGAGGGAGAGCATGGAATTGAAAACTTATTCGAAAAAATACTGAAAGAAAACATCCCTAATTTGGTGAAAGCAATAGGCATATGAGTCCAGGAAGTACTGAGAGTCCCAAACAAGTTGGACACAAAGAGGACCACACCAAGACAGAATGTAATTAAAATGCCAAAGATTAAAGATAAAGAGCAATCTTAAAAGCAGCATGAAAAAGGCAGAGTTAGCTACAAAGGAGTTCCCATAAGACTATCAGCTGATTTCTCAAAAGAAACTTTGCAGGCTAGAAGGGACTGGTAAGAAGTATTCAAAGTGATGAAAAGCAAGGACCTACATCCAAGATTATTCTATCCAGTAAAGCTATCGTTTAGAATGGAAGGGCAGATAAAGTGCTTCCCCTAATAAGGTAAAGCTAAAGGATTTCATCATTACCAAGCCATTATTACATGAATTGTTAAAGGTGTTACAGGGTGCAGCCAAGAGGGGGGACCCCAAATAGGCATTTGAAATGGGGTCCAGAACTTAAGGTGTCCAGGAGATTTTAAGATGTCTCCATCCCCCCCCACCCAGGGTGTGGGTTGGGGGAAGGGACAAATGGAGCAAGGCCATTGAGATCTGTTTTGCATAGCAACAGCCTTGCAGCTACCCTCTGGCGTGGTCATTTAACATATCTATAGCCTTTGTCTGGTCGCTTAGATATGTTAAATAGCTGTGATCATCTCTGAGCCAGGGGAATGGAAGTAACTTCCCCACCAAGACGTGACTGGGGGCAGATCCCCCAAGCTACAGCGCCCGCATGGGAGCTCGAAGAAGATTGGCTCCAGGACATGGGGCCACGCCTGTCCAGACTCAAGATGGCAGTCCAGTAAAGCTGGAAGGATATGAATTCTGGCATGTGAAGCCGAGCGTGGGAGGAGTCGGAAATGAGGCTGCAGAGGAAGATTGGCCGTGGGGATTTAAAACCCAGACTTGGCGGCCATTGAGAGAGAACCACACGGCTTTAGCATAATGGGGAGGACCTCGGCCATTGCGAGGAGGAGAACCATGCTGCTTTAGGAAGGAGAGAACCATGCTGCCCTGAGAAGGAGAGCCATGCACAGCCCTGAGAGAGAGAACCATGCGGCTTTGACAGAGTGGAGACTCCCGTGAGAGCGGACCACGTGCCTGTGCCAGAGGGGGGTCCCCCGCAGCTTTAGAAGGGGGAACCACCACCTGGTTTTAGCAGAGATCCCGGTGACTCAGCCGAGGGTGCCGGGAACCCAGGGAGGTCTCCCAGTCGAGAAGGAGGACTGCCTGAGCCATGGACTTCTATTTCCTTTCCTGAGATATGGTACTCTGGACTGGGCAAAGGGGGAAGGAAGAAAGGACTGTGACTGTGTTTGTGGGTGTTTTAAGGGACTTTGGGATTTTTGATGAAGACATTAGGTCACTACTTGAAGTCTGTATAGCATTAAATAAACATTTCCTTTCCTTTTCACGAATCTCTGGCATTGAGAGACGTCTTTCCTCTGGCGGCGGACATAACGGACCCGGGGCCTTCTTTCAATAATAGTATATCGTCCCAGGCTCCCCTTGTTGTGTTCTGTAACAAAGGGACTTTTTTAAGAAAGAGAAAATCAAAACTAAACATTAAAATGACAACAAACTTACAACTATCAACAATGAATCTAAAAAAGAAAACAAAACCAAAGTAAGCAAACAGCTAGAATAAGAACAGAATCATAGACATGGAGATCATTTGGAGGGTAATCAGCTGGGAGGGGGAAAAAGGAGAATAGGGGAAAAGGTACAGGGATTAAGAAGCATAATTTGTAGGTACAAAATAAATAGGGTGACGTTAAGAATAGTATAGGAAATGGAGAAGCCAAAGAACTTATATGTACAATCCATTGACATGAGCTAAGGGGGAAATTGCTGGGTGGACAGTGGGTACTTGGTGGAGCTGGAAAAACTGGGACAACTGTAATAGCATAATCAATAAAATATACTTAAAAAAGAATTTTAAAACTGAGCAACTCTACACAGCTCTTGGTTTTCTCATTTTCTGTTGACTGATAAAAAAATTTTATCACCAACTTATCTCTGCAAACTAAGACTCCTTTGCCTTGAACACTTGCAGATGTTAGTTTACTCAAAGAAGTGGTTTCAGGGCTTTAAGGGAACCATGAGGAATTCAAGTGCAAAAGTTCCTCAATATCTCGCCTCAGTTTCCAATATTAATAACTATGTTGAGTGCTCCAGCCAGAAACTATATCATTGTGAGACAGGATAGAAAGCTAGGAAAATTCCTTGGGGAAACTGCTATAGGGAAACTAAGACAGACAGCTGAACACAGTGGCTGAACAATACACAGCCAGGTGCAAAAGGTCACCTCCCTAGAAGTAACATCTAGGTCTCAGGTGTATTTCAGCTCCAGGCCCAGAAAAGCAGCAAAACCAGGTGATCAACACTAGGATAAGCTTCAATGACTAATGACCCCCTGCCCTGGCACTGACCAATCATTGGAGACCATGACCTTGAGATAGCACACCTAAAAAACTGATGAATATTCTGCGTTTTGAAACCCTCCCCTGAGACTTCCCCTAAGATATTGCCTATGTGAGCAAGGTAACAGCACATGCCAAAGGACCCAGCTGTGCACCTTCCCTCTGGGGTGCAGCCCAGGACATTCCCCTTCCCCTCTTACACCTCCACTTCTTCCCCCACAGGCACGTATCTCCTAAGCTCTAAGGCAATGGACAGCTGGCAGCTTGTCTCAAGCTAATCCCCTTAACCTGTCTCCAAGCTCCCCTCTTCTCTGACTTCCCAGTGAGCTAAGGCAGCCCAGCCTAAGCTCTCCCGATGCTTCCTCTATGCTAAGTCCTTCCTTGTTTTACCATTCCCAGCTTTAATGAACAGATCCTCATAGTCATCTGGACTGGTGTGAAATCTTTCTTACATGAAGTCAGGAACCCATACACTATAGTTGGCCCTAGACAGACCCACTCAGGGACAGGCCTTTTGTCTAGTAACAATTATTTTAAAGAGAAGTAAAGAAAACAGAGTGTGGCTAATAGACTCAAAACTTGAATTTGAAAGTTTTTTTTAGTTGTGATCACATCCCTGTGATTTCCAAACTAGTGCTCCATGGAGCCACAGCACTACTACTTGAACCAAAAAGACCTCCATTTTAATTCCTTTACAAAGTTGAACTTCCAATTAAGAGTTCAATGCTTAACAAAATGGTTGAACACCACTGATTTAGTCCATCTCAAATATAAAGGGAAAATGAGGCTGAAAGAAGGCCCAGGGCTTGCCTGGGGCCACCTGTTTGCTTGGCAGACCCTGGTGGCACACACCAGGAAGGATTCTTTCTGTTGATTCTTCGTAGAGTCTGTCCCCAGATTCATCTGTGGCTGAACCAAATCTTCCACTGCTCCACAGTTTCCTGGCTGGAGCATTCTGACTGGCTTCTTTTCATATTGGACTCTGTGCTCTGCTTGGCATACTGTTTCTGCATGATAATAACAACAAATGTTTCACTGGCAAGGAATTTGGGAAGTAATTTAAACTCCAGGTCTGTATATTTGCTCCCATTTTGACTATTACCAATGAAAATCTCTTTAATAGTACTTTATTAATATTTGAAGAGTATAGAGCTAATATTTGTATGAAAATTTTATTATTCTAAGGTCATGTCTAAGTAAAAATTTAAAAGGTATTTTATTTTACGAAAGATATACTTTTATTAAAATGCTTGAACTTTGCCTGGTATATGAACTGAGATGGAGAAGGATAGCTCCTATGTAGCTGATTGCATGGGGCTAATTACATTTATGGGTCAAGTAGATCTGGACACAACTCAGCTCCTGGTTAAAAATAAAACCTAACCCCCACCAAAACCCAAAACTTTATATAACCTAAAACAGTGACTTTCAAACTGTGGTTCCTAATCATTCATGGGTCATGATATCAGTTTAGTAAGTTATGAGAACACTAAAAAAAAAATACATGCAGAGAGCCAAAAGAAGAGAAAATATCAACAAAGTATATCACATACCTTAAGGGAAATATTATTTCATAACTATTTTATTTCAATCATATATATGTATTAACACATCTACACTGGTATGATAGAAAATATATTTCAGAGCCTTCAACATTGACCTGGAGAAAAACATACTTGGACATTCAGTCCCTTGAGAAGAGATTTCTGTCTTTTTCTTTATTTGTGGGCAATGGCTCTTCATCCTGGGTCTTCTGAGGGCCTCTCCCCTCAATACAGTAACAGTGATCTCTGAACACCATCATTTTCTGGTTCATGGCTATTTCCTGGACACTTCCTCCCATCAGCCAGTGAGCTCAACTGAGGGAAAGCTTCTCTAGTGCATCTGAACGTGGGTCAGAAGAAGCTGCAGGTCCCTACTACTGCACGCTGGGCACAAGGCCAGGGGCTTCATGGTCACGAATCTTCACAGATGGGGCTTCCTTTCTCTAACCTGTAGTAGTGGCGCAGCTGTGCTTCTTGAGCTCATACCACACTCAGGGCCTGACTGAATGTTTCCAAATAAAGGAATTCAGCAATGAGTACATTCCATTGGGTATAAACCATTTAAATTAAATCCAACAAATATCAGTTTCAAATAAAATTAAATATTTACTCATTTCTTTATACTTAAGAAATACAAAAATATTATACAAAGCTATATATTGATGAGATCATAACAGTTATTTGAAAAGTTGATGTCGACATTCTGTGGCTAAGGTAATAATTATGTTACTTCAGCATTATATCTCTTATGGTAAAGTTATACAGCATTAACTCTTTGATTTTGAGCATTTATAAACTTACTACTTTAACATAATACCATATATTCAGTTCTAGTAATTACTGTCATCTAAAGTAATTTAATAACAGTAGTACATAATACTGAAGATAAAGAAAAACAGTTAACTTAATAATTTTCCAAATGTTGGTAGGAAAGGAGCACATCAATGTACACCTGAGGCGGGGGAGGGTGTGTGTGTGAACATAATTTGGCCTATGATTTAATGGAATCTGGGAGAGTGAACCAAAGCTTTTTAAACTAGAAGGATGCTTGTGTTGATCAAGTTCAAACCCTTCATCTTTCCTATTAGGAAATAGCTGAACAGCAGGGTAAGTGACTTACTGAAGGTCACATAATTACTTCGCAAGAGATATGCCCCAGGTCGCCTGATAAATACAGAGTCTTTTCCATTTCATAACAGGTTTATACTATAATAAAATCATATTTTTAAAAGATCAAGGAAGCAAATACATGATTATAATTTAGACTTTAAAAACAATCAGCGCAAGAGTTTAATAAAAATATATGTTGACAAGTGTGTTCAAGTTAACATAATTAGGGTGAAACAGTATTGTAAACATTAATGGCAGAAGTTCATTGGTGTAGTGATTTATTTGTCTGTTTATATATTATTCTTGCATATTGGTTGTGTTTTCATCTGTATCACTTGAGTTAATTTTTTTCCACAAAAAATTCTCATTTGATTTCCAAAGAGAGGTTTCTAGCTCCTCTTTCCTTTTGGAAGATGCAGCAAGGGGCACTTTTCCACACAGCGTCTCTATCATGGCCAAGTCGGTGAGTTTACTAAGACTGTCATCATTCTGCTCATTCAAGATGTCCCAGAAATCTTTTGGTCTCTGTTTTGCTTTTTCTATGGGCCCTGAAAGAATTTTCTTTGGCAATCGTGTGGGACTGTTCCCATGACTTTTAAAGAGGTCATCAAGAATAGAGGTGTCACCAAGTAAGCCTACCACAGAAGTATTTTCTAACATTGGATTTTTCATATTTTTGTTTTCTACTTTGAAAGGGGGTTCATTTCTTGAAATGCTCATTCCTGTCAGGTCTTGCAGGTCTTCCATGGTATTTTCTAACCTTTTCTTACCTGCTTCAGATTTACTGTTCAGGGAACTGGATGCTATAGTATATTTGGATAGTTGGCTGTTTTTTTCATTGTCAGGCTCTTGGGTAGAGCTTGTAGGTAATTTCTGAGTTTCTGCATCATTAGAAAGCACCCCTTCTCTACAGAAACCATGGGTTTGAGGGCTAACTGATTTTTCTTTATATGTTTTTGGGCTGCAAATTTGAGAAATTTTTTTGGTAGAATCTTTAAATGACAAAGTTTCAGAATCTGGCAGCCTTTCTTTTATAGAAGATTCTCTCTTTCCAGACTTATTCCTGATTCTCTTTCCTTTCTCATAGGCAGGTTTAATGAATTCTGCAGCAGTATCCACAAAAAAGTCTTTTACCTCTGAATATTGAGAAACATAAAAGTCTTTTAACATTTGCTGTCGTTCTTCTGATGTAGCATTAGTTACACGTTGAGCAAATTCCACAGAAGACAAATTAAAATAAGAAGCCATTTCTTCAAATTGTTTTCTGAAGATTTAATGAACAAAATCAGCAGTTATTTTTTATTACATATTATTTTCAAAGAACTTGTAATCATGATATGAAATGTAGAAACAAAGCAATCTTATTTCTTTGACATATATTAACTTAATTACATAACAAAAGTGCATTCTACACTCTTTCCTTATACTAATGAAAAAAATATTTTAGTTCATGAAATCACCAGCTTTTGAAATTATTCTAATTTATACTATTAGGTATTTCCTGGGAATTATGGGGTCCCAGCATATTACTCTTCCAGTCAGCCAATTTATGACTGACATGAGAATTATAATTCATATAATCTGTATTTCAAAATCTATATTACATTCAAGTTCCATAAAATAAAATTGTCAAAGAGGAGTCTTAATAAATACAAAAGAGAAAATTCTAAAATATAAGAATGGATTTTTTTTTATTTTTCTGTCCTCTTTCCCTTTCTTCCACACAAATACAACATAGACATTTCACAGAAGTTTTTGATAAGCCTAAAAAAAAGTTCTAAACTGATACACCTAGATTCTTTCTTCCCCCATGTGGTCTGGCTTCAGTATAGACAGCTAAACCAAGAAGTGAGATGCTATTTTTTTCCCCATAGAATTAGAAAAAAATAATCCTAAAATTTATATGGAATCACAAAAACCCTGAATAGCTATAGCAGTCTTGAGAAAGAAGAACAAAGTTCGAGGTATTGCATTACCTGATATCAAATTCTACTACAAAGCCATAGTAATCAAAACAGCATGGTACTAGAATAAAAACAGATACATAAATAAAAGGAACAGAACATAGAGCCCAGAAACAAACCCACACCTATATGGTCAATTAATATGTGAAAAGGGAAGCAAGGATATACAATAGGGTAACAATAGTCTCTTTAATAAATGGTACTGGGAAAACTGGATAGAGGCCAAAAAAAAAAAAAAAAGGAAAGAAAGAAACTAGATAGTTGACTTTCTTACACCATACACAAGAATACTCAAAATGGATTAAACACTTAAATGTGAGAACTGAAAGCATTAAGCTCCTAGAAGAAAACATAGGCAATAAACTTTCTGACACTGCTCTTAGTAATATGTTTTTGAATATATCTCCTTGGGCAAGGGAAGCACAAGAAAAAAACAAACAAATGGGACGACATCAAGCCAGAAAGTTTTTGCACAGCAAAGCAAACCATCAATAAAACAAAAAGAACCTACTGAATGGAAGAAGGGGTTAATATCCAAAGTTTACAAAAAACTCATACAACCTAACACCAAAAAACTAAACAATCCAATTAAAAAATTGGCAGAGGGTTGGAACAGACATTTTTCCAAAGACGGCAAACAGATGGTTGATAGACATATATAAAGATGATCAACGTCACTAGTCAAAGAAATGTAAAGTAAAACCACAATGAGCTATCACCTCATATCTGTCAGAATGATTATCATCAATAAATCAACAAACAAGTACTGGTAAGGATGTGGAGGAAAGGGAACCCTCATACACTGTTGGTTGGATTGCAAATTGGTGCAGCCACTGTGGAAAACAGTACAGAAGTACCTCAAAAAATTAAAAACAGGAGTTCTGGCCAAGATGGAGGCATAGGTAGATACTGTGCCTCCTCGTACAACCAAAAGAAGGACAGCAAACTTAAAAACAAAATATAACCAGAACTGCCAGAAAATTGAACTATATGGAAGTCCATCAACCAAGGAGTTAAAGAAGAAGCATTCATCCTGACCAGTAGTAGGAGGGGAGATGTGCAGCCAGAGCAAACAGGATGTGTGGCAAAGAGGCGACTGAAGGATGGGGTGGGCCCACATTTGCGTGTAGATAAACAGGGGGAATGACTGTAGGGAAAGAGAGATCTCATAACCCAGGCTTCCATCCCTGGGGAAATAAAGCCTCAAACCTCTGACTGAAAGCACCTGTGAGGGTTGAGGCAGCAGCGGGAGAAACTCCCAGCCTCACAGGAGAGTTTGCTGGAGAGACCCATAGGGTCCTAGAAAGTACACAAAGAGGGACCAATTTGCTTGTGGGTAGTGGAGGAAGTGACTGAAAGCTGGCTGAGAGCTGAACCAACGGCATTTTCCCCTCTCTGACCCCTCCCCCACATATAGCATCACAGTGCAGCAATGTGGGTTGCCCTGCCCTGACCAATACCTAAGGCTCTGCCCCTTACTATATAATAGGCCCACTGAGACAAAAAATATGGCCCAAATGAAGGAACAGGTCAAAGCTCCAGAAAAAATACAACTAAGTGACGAAGAGATAGCCAGCCTATCAGATGCACAGTTCAAAACACTGGTAAATCAGGATGCTCAAAGAATTGGTTGAATATGGTCGCAAATTAGATGAAAAAGTGAAGGCTATAAAAAGTGAAATAAAGGGAACCAACAGGGAAGGGAAAGAAACCGGACTCAAATCATGGTTTGGAGCAGAAGGAAGAAATAAATATTCAACTAGCAAAGAGTGAAGAAATAGTAATTCAAAAAAAAGAGGAGGTTTAGGAACCTCCAGGATAACTTTAAACATTCCAACATCTGAATCATAGGGGTTCCAGAAGGAGAAGAGGAAGAGCAAGAAATTGAAAACTTATTTGAAAACATAATTAGGGAGAATATCTCTAATCTGGCAAAGGAAATAGACTTCCAGGAAGTCCAGGAAGCTCAGAGAGTCCCAAAGAAGTTGGACCCAAGGAAGCACACACCAAGGCACATTATAATTACATCACCCAAGATTAAAGATAAGGAGAGAATCTTAAAAGCAGCAAGAGAAAAGGAGACAGTTACCTATAAAGGAGTACCCATCAGACTCTCAGCTGATTTCTCAAAAGAAATCTTGCAGGCAAGAAGGGGCTGGAAAGAAGTATTCCAAGTCATGAAAGGCAAGGACCTACATCCAAGATTACTTTATCCAGCAAAGTTATCATTTAGAATGGAAGGGCAGATAAAGTGCTTCCCAGATAAGGTCAAGTTAAAGGAGTTCATCATCACCAGCTCCTCATTATATGAAATGTTAAAGGGACTTAACTAAGAAAAAAAAGAAGATAAAAAGTATGAAAGGTAAAATGACAACAAACTCACAACTACCAACAACCGAACCTAAAAAAACAAAAACAAAAAAAATGAACTAAGCAAACAACAAGAACAGGAACAGATTTACCAAAACAGAGATCACATGGAAGGTTATCAGAGGGGAGGCAGAAGGGGGAGAACGGGGCAAAGGGAATAAGAAGCATAAATGGTAAGTACAAAATAGACAGGGGGAATGGTTAAGAATAGAATGGGAAATGGAGAAGCCAAAGAACTTATGTGTACGACCTATGGACATGAACTAAGATGGGGGAATGATGGTAGGAGGGGGATACAGAGCGGAGGGAATAAAGGGGAGAAAAAAAGGGACAATGTGTAATAGCATAATCAATAAAATATATTAAAAAAAGAATGAAATCTTGCCATCTGCAACAACATGAAATAATACCTTATGGGTATTATGCTGAGTGAAATAAGTCAGACAGAGAAAGACAAATACCAGATGATCTCACTTATCTGTGGAATCTAAAGAACAAAAATGAACAGACAACATAGAAACATTTGTAGATACAAAAACAAACTGATGGTTGCCAGATGGGGAGGGGGTTTGGGGTGCTGAGTGAAAAAAGATGAAGAGATTAAAAAGTACAAATTGGAAGTTACAAAATAGTCACAGGGATTTTAAGTACAGCATAGGGCATGTAGTCAACATAATGTAATGACTATGTATGGTGCCAGGTGGATGGCTAGATTTATCAAGGTATCACTTTGTAAGTTATGTAAATATCTAACCATTGTGATGTACACTTGAAACTAATAAAATATTGAATTTCAACTGTAATGAAAGAATAAAAAACCACAAAAATAAAAATACATGCCATTTGTAATACTAGAAAAAAAGACGTGAGATACTATTTCAAAAAGCAAGTTTCATTCTTAGTACAAAATGGTACTAATTAAAGTGTTATCTGCATATGTGGGAAATGGGCCTTCTGCAACCCTGGTTAAGATGGAGGCAGAAGGGTTGTTTTGGGACCCTGGGTACTAGACTCTGTTCCTTTCCCCAGGTGAGGGTGCTGTGGACTGAACTGGGTCCTCCGAAGAGTTATATGTTAAAGCCTTCATCAGTGCCCAATGTGACTATATTTGGAGATAGACCATTGAGGAGGTAATTAAGGTTAAATGAATTCACCAGAGAATGCTCTCTCTGTCATGAGAAGACACAGTGAGGAGGTGGCTACCTGGAAGCCACGAAGAGAGCCCTTACCAGAAACCACATCAACTGGCACCCTGATCTTGGACTTCCCAGGCTTCAGAACTGTGAGAAATTTCTGTCATTTAAACTCTAGTCTGTGGGATTTTGTTATGGCACCCCGAGTAGACTAAATAAGACAGAGGGTATAGCTTCACTGATGTTGAATCTGGCCATGAGTCAAGAAGGCCTAAGGTTTATAAACATTCCTTTAAACAAAGCCATAGATGGTGTTGCAGCACATGATTGAAAGTTCCAAAATTTTAGAACTGCATCTATATTTTATATACCATTTCCTTAAAACATTATTTTCATTCAACAAATATTTACAGAACCCTCTTAGGTGCTAGGCACTATGGTAGGAACCATACAATAAAACAATAACTAGTTCCCTATGTTCAAGGACTTTATAGTCTAGTTGGAGGAGACAGGTGCATGAAAATCAAACCAGAACAGAGTTGTAAGTCCCACAATGGGGGTTAGTGCAGGGCACCCACACAAGGGGTACCTAAACCAGTGGCTGGTAAGGGGCAAGGCAGTAGGAAAGGCTACTCTGCTATCAGCTCAGACCAGGAAGGCAAAGATGAGGGATGAAGCCTTCCAGAGAGAGAGGGTACACGCACAGGCCCAGTCTCAGAGAGGACCTGGTGCACAGAGCAGAGAATCCTGAGGGCAAATAACTTCTTTACATATGTATGACTAGGAACTTTAAAGTCACTATTATTTTTGCCATCCAGATCAGGTTTTGTAAAGTTTCCTTTGATTTTTGTGGCAATCCACACTGCACACTCTTCACTTTCCTTTGTGGTTTCAGGTGAGCACTGTGGCTTCTAGGCCTTACCACACTGGTCCTGTAAACTGCTCAAATCTAGGTGCTACCTCTCCCTGATCAACAGAATATTTAATATCACAAATACAAGCTTCCAAATTTCTGTCCTGGAAATTGCCAGTGTTCTTGTTGGAGAGCAACAACGTGTTCTTAAATGGTTCCAGTTTTCACGTCACATGAAGCAACAGAGGTAGTATTATTTTGTTTATTAATCATCTCCAAATCCATTTTCATGGCCTTTCTAATAAATATTTATGCTGTGAAGACTAAGTTATTGGCAAAGTTACAGGCTGACATCTTTTATTTACCCAAAATTTGGTGGTGTCTCAGCAGCTGCCAAAGGACTTTTGCCTTTGCTGTACTGACCTCTCCCCTGACCCTGCAACTTCGTCACCTCGGAAGGGGGCTGCTTCCAACCCCATTTGATCCGAATGGTATGCAAGTCAATATGCCATGTGGTTGCCTGTTGCAGAAGGAGTTATGATTGTAATTCATTTTATTTGCCTTCTAACTTGCTTTCAAATTCTTAATTTTAAAAGAATTTTCCAAAAATAAGGAACTGTGAGGTACAACCAATGCGTAGAAAAATTTAGTAAACTAGAGTAGACACATGAGTGCCACTTAGAGAGAGAGAAAAAGAAAGGAAACCAAAAATAGGTATCTTTCAGCAAGTATATCTGGAGTAGTTATATATCATGGATAAAATTTAAATTTCTCTCCCCTTTTTCTTGAGGAATTGGGGCATCAGGGAGAGAACACAGCTAAAATCATCATCTCCTCTCTGCCTAAGCTTCCTGAAGGAAAGGTAGGGCCAAACACTTCATTCAGATGATCCATCGGGCTGTAGCGTGGACCAGTCTTGATTCTCACAAAGGTAGGATGGTTAGTAAGAAAGAGGTGTTAATAGTTTGAAAATTATTGCCTGGTTCAAACATTGGCATTCTAATATTAGACCTTCTTTGTCTTTTTACTTAATATGAGTTGAGGCATTTATTCCCTAGGCTGGGTAGAGAAGAAAGGAAAAGAGGCAAAAACTATTCATTGTCAATATTTTAGTTTTTTTATATACAAATGAAAGGGGATGAAGACAATGTGCTCCACAAAGATGATAAAACATAGATGGTCAGCTTCCTAGCAAAATCACTGGCCAAAGTGCAAAAATCATTGTTGTGAATGTTTGAGAAGATGCATTGCTGCAACTGTGTGGGGTGTTCACCTTCCTGGGCAAAGGTGGGTAACTGACAGCCAACCTGCCACACCAACAGCTAAGGAGCTGAGGAACCAGCCTTCCTGGGACAGCTAAGGACTAGAAGTTGCCAAATCCCTAAGGGAAGCCCACAGAGCACCAGCACTTTCTCCTTCTCCCCAGATGCCATGGGGACCAATTCAGTCATGCCTTCCATTACTTTTTACCTCAGTCCGTACTCCTTGGTTACCATAACCAATGGCCTCTCATCTCCTCCTACTCTTTACATCCTTGATCTAATCCAACCCTCCACCTTCCAGACCATTCTTCGGCACCTGTGGAACCAGGCTATGATCTCCCAATTCCCCTGTGTCTCCTATGCTGAATGGTCCCTTTGTTGCCTTGTGATACTGCCTTCCTCCCATGTTGTATTTGCAAATCAAGGCTCATACTTCACACCCTTCAACCTCAGGGTTCATGCTTCACATTGCTGCTTCCAGACCATTGTTTTCCTAAAAACTCCTTTCCCTTTATAAGGTTTATGCTAACCAGCTAAACCATTTTCTCCTGCATTTTGTTAACTGACTCTTTAGTTTTTTCCTGCTAGTAACTGTTCCCGGATTAATGTTGCTTCTATTCATCTCCCTATTATCATTCTTTTTTTAAAGTTAATTAATTAATTTACTTGAGAGAGGGAAAGGGAGGGAGAAAAAGAGGGAGAAAAATACTGATTGGTTGCCTACTACATGACCCCAACCAGGGACTGGTCCTGCAACTCAGACATGTGCCCTGACCAGGAATCAAAACCCGGCACCTTTCACTTTGAGGGACAACACTCAACCAACTGACTATGCCAGTCAGGGGTCCTACCATCATTCTTGATAATTATCATCAAAATCCATGTGGATGTCCTACCTGACTCGTGGTCCATCAATTTCTTTACCTCACCTCCAAAGACTCAATCCCATGCCAGGTCCCTGTTCCCAAGGTCATATACTGCCAGTCATTACCATTAACTGCACTACCTCTAAATCTTTGACTCAGTCATCTTGTGCTCCAGCTCAAGTGTGAACCCCCATGACAACAATGACAACCCCCATGACAACCCCCAAAATCAAGTGCTTTTCTGCTTTCTCATTACCCCCTTGTACAGCTTAGGTTCAATTTTATAATCACTCTTGTGCAAACACCCTTCAGCTTCCTTGCTTCTCTCTCCTGTCATACTAACCCCTAGCAAAATCTAGCCTTCTCTCTATTCTGTGTTTACAACTAAACAATCGAAGCTTGCAGAATGAAGTATGCATGACTGTGCAGATAGTTTTATTGGAATTGCTCTCAAACAAGGACTTAATATTACCCAAGAATTCTAGTCCCACTAAGCTTGCTTTCCTACTTTAAAAATGACTTATTTCACAACTTCCCTCTGTGTAAATCTATCTTCCTCTGAATTGGTGATTTTAAATCTCAATTAACTGAGGAAATATCACTATATCTGTGCCTGCCATCATCTCTTTTCTTTCAATGCCTCTCAAAGGCTGGAACTTGGCCAGTGGTCTGGATAGGACCCTCTCCTGCCTCTAACACTTTACTCTTTTCATTCACTCTGGCATGATCTACCCCCCAACCCCTGCCCGGCACCCCGCCTTAGCCTGTTCTCTCAATACACAAGCAGGTTCTAGTATCTTGACAACTTAAAAAAAAAACAACCCTACCCTTGGTCCCACATTCCCCTCTAGCTGCTACTGCTTTTCATATCCAAACTTAAAGAGCTATTGCAGGCTCTGCCTGTTCACTGTTGGCCCATTTCATCCCAGCATCTGTCTACTTAGACTGTTCAGGTTGAAGCAGCCAATGAGTTCTCTGCTGCCCACTCCAGTGGGCACTTTCCCACAAAACTTGATAGAGTCAAGAGCTTCCTCCTTTTTGAAATGCACTTTTCTCATACTTCAGGACCTTACACTGTGCCTCCTGATCAACAGGCCACTGTCGCCTCCAGGATCAGTCCTGGGGCTTTTCCTCTCTTCTCTGTGCTCTCTGTTCCTAGGCTGTTCACACAGTCCCATGGCCCAAAACACCATTGATAATCTCTGTGCAGATGATTTCCATATTTAGATCCTAGTCCCCAGATCCCAGGGTAGCTCATCCATTGTCTATTCAACATTTTCATAGAAACTCAAATTTTATATGAGCAAAAGAGAACTCTTGATCTTTTTAAACTCCAAACTTGTTTCTCTTCTAGTTTTCCACATTCAGTAAGTCCAACTTGTTGCTCAAGACAGAAAGTTGGGAGTAATTCTGTCTTCTCTCTGCTGCAACAACCACCCCAACACCAAACACACTCATTTGGCTGTGTCTCCCTGGCAATGACTCTCCTGCGAATCAGAATCACCTAGTTAGTTCCTATGATCTCCCCGTGTCTACTCTGCCCTCTTCCTCACAGAAGCTGGAACAATCTTTTAGAAACATAGGTCAGATCATATCATGCTTCAACAGCTTTCCTCTGCATTTAGAACAAAATTCAAACTTTCCCTAAAATCTACGAGGCTTTGTATACTCCAGCCCCATCTATATCTGTGTCTTCATTTCTTACCATTCTCTGCTCTGTTTATTATGACCTAAGTGCACTAGTCTTCTCTTGGGTCCTCAAACACATTAAGCCTCTGTCCTTCTCAGGGATGTTCTTATGCTAGTTCTTTGTCCAGTTATCCCTTAAATCTCAAGTTAAATGTCACCTGTGGATCAAGGGCTTCCTTGACTACCCAACAGAACGGTAGGTGCATCCCTCCTAATCCCATTATTCTTCATCAAGGAAGCTTGTCCCTACCTTTCTTATAACAAACCATTATATAATTACTTATGTTATTTTTATTTTTGAAATTATATGGGCCAATGCCAACCCCCATCCCATTGTACTGTAAGTTGTCTTTTTTGTTTTAGCACAGTATATTCAGCACCCAGAACTATGCTTGGGTGCATATTAGGTGTTCAATAAATATTTAATGAGTGAATGAATGTAATGCACTTAAGTATTTTATTTACCTATATAAAATAATTTCATTTTTTAATCAATTCATGGATCAGCTTTCTAAACACATAAAACATTTGGAATTTATTTTTTAAAGTGTACAAATTAAGATTTTTCTAAAATATTTGGGTTCCAGGAATATTTAAAATTAAATTATTTTTTTACTTTACTGAGGAGCTATATTTCTTTTGAGAATTATTCTTAAAAGTCCAATGTTGTTACAGATGACATACCTACGAATCCCTTTTGGTGTTTCCCCAATTATGAAGGTGGTCTGGTCTGTTCGGTAAACTTTTTTCTTCTTCTGGCTCACAGGATGTGAAATGTAAAGGGGAAATGAAATGCCTTCTTCACTTGGCTGATGGCCTTTCTTTGTGTGTGTCGATGTGTCTGTCTTCATCTTGTCTTTATGTGTCTGAAAAAAGGGAAGGAAGTGTTACCATAGACATCCAGTTGCAGTGCCAGGGAGTCTCCTCCATTGGCCAAGATGGTGGAGCACGAGGTTCTTATATGGAGGATGCTGAAAGCTAGTAAGGTGAATAGACAGGATCCGAGCATTCCAAAAGCTAACACAATAATTGGATAGAAAACCCCTATAAGAACTTTGGACTTGAGCAGATAGGGGTGATGGTCTTTGAGATGGGAGTCCACCATTCTCCCTGGTCACAGCACCTGAATCAACTTTCCTTTTGCCCCAGCACCTGTCTCATAAATTGGCTTTCATTGCAGCAGTCAGCCAAACCTCCACTTGTTTGGTTACAGTTTTTGGTGACTCTGGTGGGGGGCAGTGTGGACCTTGGTAAACCCTGGAAGGCCTGGGCTGTGTGCCCAGCTGTTTGTGGCAGGGTGACCCAGGAGTGGGGTTGTGGGAACTTCCCAGCAGCTGCTGAGAGCTTTTCTGAGGAAATTTCCCTGCACTCCTTCTCAAGACTTCAGCACCCTGAAACACCTGGCACTTCTACTTCTTTGCTCAATTATCCACAAGGTGAAAGGAAACAGGTTTCTGGGGAGAAAACACCAAGACGGTAAGTCAAACTTACCTGGTGGCATGCATACCAGGTGTCCTGTATCCCTGCCACCTGGGCTTCATGCCACTTGAGTCTGCTTAGGACCATTTGTAGTACCAGTTGGTAGGCTATCCAAGGCTATTCCTGCTGTTTGGGCTTTGTGTCCCTTGGGCTTTTTGCCTTTAGGTTTGGTCAGGACCACTTGTGGTATCAGTTGCAAGAAGATGCCAGAACTTGCTTGTGAGTGCTTGTTTGGACTAATGAAGTTACAGATCCAAGTTTTGTTTATGTTTCTACTTGTCTGGGGTCTTTCTATGGTTATGGTTTTGGGTTTGTACTTTTGTGCCTTCAGGGGTTGTTCTGTTTCTACTCCTAAATGGAGCCCACTTGGCCAAATTTTAGCAGATTGGTCCAAGTTCAGCTATCACCCAATGACTAAGAAGGAACTGGTTTTCTACAGTAACACTGCTTGGTCTATGTATACTTTAGACTGTAGGGGAAAATGGCCCCTATATGGTTTCCTAAATTACTATACCATCATACAGTTGGAATTATTCCAATAATCAGCGAATGGAACAATGTCCATTATGTCTAGCGGTTTATGTCTTTACATAATAAAGATTTGGCAAAGAAAGGAAACAACCTAATGATGCAGAGAAAGAATGGCTTCAAAACCCCTCCCTGATAGTAAGACACAGGGAGAAAAGGAAAATGAGATGAGTTTCTTTAATGCCCTGAACCTGAGGGACCCAGGATTAGCAGCAGGAAGATTTCCTCTGCCACCACTCCTGCTGCTAGATACCCCTGAAATAGGGCCTAGAGAGGTGACAGCCCCATTGCTGCATGATGAAGAAATGGTTTCCCCCTTGAAGATTTGGCAGGGCACCCTATTTGGCCAGGAAACATTCCTATCTGGAGTGGGACAATTCCCCTGGAGGCAATACTGTATAGGCAGAATAAACCAGGAAGGGCAGCTTGCTGGCCACTAATGGGCCCATACTCCATTTTCTACTTCATATCTACTGAACTGGAAGAATTCCAACCCTTTATAGGGAAGACCCTCAGAAAATGGCAGACCTTATCACCTCCAGTCTGGCCATTCACCATCCAATATGGGCAGATGTACAGGCCCTCCTTAACATCCTGCTAGTGCCAGATGAAAGGTGGCTCATTATAGATAGGGCTAATAAAGAGGCTCAGAGCTTCCATAAAGAGGATCCAAATGGGAACCCCAACCCAGCTGGGGCAATTCTCTTGACAGAGCCCAATTAGGACCATTCCATTGCCCAAAGAAAAACACTATACACAATTTGACAACAATAAATTTATATTTGAACTTAAAAGTAAGAAAGGAAAATCTCTAGGTGCCAGTAACAAAGAGGTAACATAGTGGTGAGTGGGAGCTGGAGCTCAGTAGCTCCCATGATAGGGTCTTAAGTTATAGTCTGCAGGACTCCATGTGTGGAGGGGAGATGAAAAATGATTTAAGTCCCTGAATTAAAAAAAAGCACAAACAATAAATCAACCAAAATACAGAAGAAGTTAAAAAAGCCAATTTTTAAAACTGAAAATTTAAAGCTAGGAAACCCCAAACTGGAGACACAGGATAGAGGCAGGCTACCTTCTTACTCCATATAGTGTAGAAAGAATCACTGGTGAAAAGATGAAATGCCCAGCCAATGCCATTTGTGGAATCTTATTTTGTAGTGCCTGGGTGGTATGGAAATCTAAGGTAAAAACTAACATAAAGGACTGGCCTAGAACCAGTGAAAATCATAGATCTCAATGAAAGGTGAATACAAAAATATACCATAGGAGGACTTCCATAATCTAGAGAATGCTTCTGATTCCAACTGAGGGCAGGAGGAGAGGAGTTCAGGCAAAAATTATTAGGATCACATAAAATTCTCCATCATGAAAGTGGGCAGGTGCAACAAATGTGAGAATCTATACCTGAGAAACAATAAATAAAGCAATCTGGAAGAGACTTTAAATCATTAGCATGTCAAGATAAAGGAAAAGATAGAATCTATCACCAAGAACTGGATAATATATAGGCAGATTTGACACAGAACCAAATACAAACTCTAAAAAGGAAATATAGTTTTGCAATGAAAAATAGAGATAGAAACGAAGTCAAAAGATGTGTTAAACAGCAGACTAACCACCCTACCTACAATGGTAGTTGATAAACTGGTAGAATGAAATTACTCAGAGTGAAGTACAGAGATCAAACCAGAAAGAAAGAAGGAAAAAGGAAAAAAGATAGAAAAAGAAATTAGGAGACAGAAGACACAAAATTTCTAAAATAGTAGAAAAACAGAACAGAGAAAATGGAAGAGATAATGGTGGAGAAATGAAGAAAGCATGAATCCTCAAACTAAAAAAGGAGACTCTAGCAGAAAAATAAAAATTAATTTGAACCTTGTTATATCTTAGATAAAGGGAATGTCTTAAAATACCAGAAAGACAAGATATCCCACAAAGAAAGGGTAATCAAACTAAAGGCAGACTTCTCATTAACCCCATCACCACAACCAGAAGATAATGAGATAATGTCATCAACATGTAAAGAGAAAAAACAGTCAACCTAGAATTCTATACCCAGTTAATCTATCATTTGAGAAGTTTTTCAGACATACAAAGACTAAGAGTTTACTAGATAAAGATTCTTGCTGATGACACATTTGTTTTTTATAGGAGTTCAATGGAATTGAAGTGGCATATATCAATGAGTATAGGTAGGGAATGGCTCTTCATTTTACAATGTTTACTAAGCACCTGTCATGTTACTGTCACCACACTCTGCAGTTGAGAACAAAGATATTTACAAAAACAAAGATACAGAATATCCTTATTTACACATATACAAAATATCCTTAAGAGACTTAAAATTGACAAGCCTATTCCTCAAAAAAAAAGATGGCATTTTTTATTTTTCTTTTTAAAAATCCATCATTTATCCTTTCAACTTATATTGATGTTCATTTCACTGAAATAGACTGAACATAAGACAAAACATAAGACATAATTATATGTTGTTTAGTAGCAAGCCATTCCTAATAAAAATAAATTGACTTCTTGCAAAATCTACTGTGACTCAGATGGACAAACAATGTTGAAAATACTTTTCTTAAAGACAATTTCTTAAATCTTAAAACATGATTAATAGAGGAAAGTGCTGATCTTTAAAGATAAGCTTGAAAGAGATTTGATGCATTTATTTTACATCACAAGAAAACAAGATGAATGTGAAAAGTTCCTAATAGAAAGGCTCATTATCTTAGATGACCTCCAAGAAAGAATTATCCATTACTGGAAGGAGAGATAGGAATGCTTGCATGACGGTAAAGGGAGTAAGCAGAAGGAGAAGGAACTGTGCTAACCGAGAACACTCCCGTCTCATGTATTGTAATTTCTGAAGCCATAGAGAAATCATGCCAGAAAATGAAAATTTTTAGTTATTTACACTATTACTATGGGTCTTTCTGACCCTGGAAGCATTATAAAGCTTACATTTTGTACAGATGAATTTTTCATAAATCAGTTTTATAAACTTTTCAGGAAAACTCAGGCTTTACAACTATAACTATCAGATATGTGTATCTTTCTGTTTTTGGTGCACATTATGCAATTTAAAACCTGATTATTTTACACAATAATAAAAAGGGAAAGCATTCATCTCTCAAATGGGCTCAATATCCTATCCTTTATTTAGAAAAGTCTATCTAGGTTCAGATTTCCATTTTAGTAGGGTATTTTAACACTTAAATTAAGTCTGTGAAACAAAATTTTGTTAATTAATTTAATAAACATTTGGTGCTCTTGCTATAATAGCTGGTTTCAGTACTTTATAGTAACATAGTAACTTTTACAGTAGAATCCAATCTAATGCAGATGAAATCCTTTATAACAGGTTGCTTTACAGTCCTTTACAACAGATACAAGGTAAAGTAATGCCATAGCACAGTTGCAATTGTAGTGACAGTTGTATTTTATTATGTAGCAAAGTACAAGGTCTGTGGCCAAGATGAAAGATTCTGGATTATGTGAACTGGACTCAAATTCATTCATTACCATGAATGTCCAAGCTGCAAAGTTATATGACATGGAGGCAACATTGTAAAAGAGCAACATAATGCAGGCTCAAGTAAAATGAGCTGAATTAGGAATTTAGGTAGAAGATGAGGTTGCTTGCTCAAGAAGGCAAAATAAATCTACTCTGCTTTCCCCCCTGAGTGACCAACAACTGGAACACTATGTCTGCATTTGATAGGAGATTTTGTGATCATACCATGAAGAAAGCAGAAATCCCAGTTTATGCAAAACCCCCTAATTGTTCTTTTCTTTAAAAGTTTCTTCAAAACTCTCCATCAAGGTTGGCCCTCAGAAAGTACCTCTGTATTTA